TTTGAAATATCTATGCTAAAATATATTGGGGGATTTTATCAATGGAATGTTATCACCAGGAAAGTGGTCATTCATTAATGCAAATGACATAATTGGAGGAATGCTTATCAGCAGGATGGTTATCATTTAAATACATCAAATACACGACAATGAAAATATGCTAATTTTAATTCTAGAAATGAATATTATTCTATTACTAATAATTAATGGATGTCATACATTACATTTATTTTCATTTGTAATCTATTGATGATAATGTTAGGGGAAAATATAAGTGATAAGACTCGAATTATTGCCTTATCATTCTCTTTTTTTGTTTCCTTTTTCATTTTAGTTAATTATGGTAATATTAATATTATCGTTACTGATAGGAAAAGATTTATATTGTCATAAATCTGCTTTTTCAGATGAGAACGAAAAAAAAAAGCGATAGCCAATGGTTTAATATCCGGTATATGATTACGGTATTATCAATATAATATTACCTTATCAATGCTTCAAATCTATGTTAGCCTTTCTTTCACACATTTTTCTTTCTCTTTTTACTCTTAAAAATAATTACCTCTTTCAATGTTATGCAAATATGCCCTCAGTATAGCATATTATTTTTACCAAGAGATATATAAGAATTCCTTTAATGTATTTTCCAAATTATTCCTTATCATTATCACTGAAGCACTTATTTCTTCTTTTTTTTCCTGTTTTTCTTCTCAAATATTTTTGAAATCATCATGATTTTAATGAAATTTGAAAATTTAATCATAAATAATTACAATATTGCATCCCTTTATCTTTTCCTTTACTTTTTTTTTCTTGTTATTAGTTATCTTTAAAAAGAACAAAAAAGTTTTTGTTTGTTTCTTTCAAAATCAAAATTCTTTAAATTTAAGTAATTTAAAATGATGGTGCTAATTATTAGCAAGATTAAGAAAAAGTAACAATTTTGCATTTCTAATTGCTAATCTAATTATGATAGTTACTATCATCTAATATAATTTACATATATCTTTTTTTTTCATTCCCTTAACTAAAAACTTTTTTTCGACAGAGATTTCGAATTTTTCCTTTTTTTTTCAAAGCACAAAGTATTTGTAACGAATTAGCAGCAAAAGTTAGCCATGAAGTATTTGAAAATCTCAAACTTTCCCAGGAAAATTTCTTCTCCGTAAATTAATTCATAATTTTTGCTTCATATATGTATCCCTCCAAGTGGTTTTAGCGTACTTATATTAGGCTTTTAATCACTAAACTAACTTTATTTTCACTAATTGCTAGGATGAATTTCAATGATTTATAGAAATTTCAAGCTTTAAAATTTTTTGTAATGCTTCTTTTTTTTTGTTTTTGTTCACCTTTAATTTAATCCTATCCATTCATTCCAAATTTTAATTTACTCTTTTCTGTACACCTCAATTTTTACCTTTTTCCTTCTCAACAAAATTAATAACAAAAAATTTGTCGCAAATTAACATGTTTAAGCAAACATTATTTTTATCATTCTTATTTTTCATTTAAATTAAATTGAAAGGAAATTTAGGAATTTTGAAAATGAAATCAATGCATAGAAATTACGCATTTTGAAAACTATTGAAAGGAGCATTTTTAAATTTTCACAATTACTGGTATCTTCCACAATTTCCACTTATAATTTTACCGCAACAATGAAAAAATTTAAATTTCTAATTTTTTAGCATTATTAAATTGTTGTTTTAATCCTTCGTCCTTCTGAAATTATTTATAATTTAGTTACTCAAATTTTAATTAAATTTTAAGTTATTTGTATAAATTTTATTATTTTTTAGCAATAACTAATAAATGATTGGTAACATTTTCCTTTCTCTTTGTCGAATTTCTTCATATTCCATCATCAAAATGATTTAAATTTTGGCTAAAATTATAAATGTTTTGTGGAATAGAAAATCCATTAAATTTGATATTTCAGCATGCAATTTCCAACAGCAAAACTTCTTATCACTGGAATTTTTGTGGTACTTGGAGGTGGATTTAATTTTGGTTTTCAAGTATCAATTATTAATCCGATGGGTAAACTATTGCAACAATTTCTAGTACAATCTTTAGAAAGGTTATGTGATCTTTGATATCATCTTTTTTTTTTTTTTGAAATAATATTTGCTATAACAGTAAATTTGATGTATCCATATGCTATTAATTTAGTATTGGAAAATTAAACTAAGTTGAGTTTATTGTTTTAAGCCTAAAACTTTGACAGTCCTTTGAAGTTTTAATTTTACAAAGTAAATTATTATATTTGACACAACATTTCGTCCATGTTCAGTAAAATAAAGTTATCAGGCAATCATTTGAAAACTTTTCTTCTTTTTTTTTTTCAAGTAATTGGCATTTAAGATAAACTATTCAAGCAAGAGGTGTCAAAATAAGCCAAAAAGTGATGAACCATTCAAACAAGAGATGTCAAAATAAGCCAAAAAAGTTTGTCTGCAAAAAATGAAAAATATACATCTGTAAATGACCACAAATTGTCACTTGTTAAGTCAATCATCTAAAAATTGTCCATCTGAAAATGACATTTAAGTTGTCAATATCAGACCAACTAAAAGTTATTTAAAATTATCGATTTAAAATTTTGATTTGATTTTTTGCATCATATTATCAATAATTTATATCATCTAATCTAACAATTATTAATTTTTGTGCCATTAATTAAAGTTTTTAAAATATTTCATTTACCATATTGTGATGCTTAATTTGTTTAATGCTCAATGCATAATGTTTAGCGCTTAATTATGCTTAATTTTTTACATCTGTGTAAAATAATTAAAAGTCGATAAAAATTATTATTTCAACTTGAATGGAATTGTTACTGGAATCAATCCCTTAATAAGAAACACTTATAAAATTAAACTTATCAGGATTATTCACCAATAAAAATACTTATTAAATTAAACTTGCCAAAATTATTCACTTATCTGAATTATTCCTTGATAAAAGTACTTGCGAAATTGTCATAATTTTCCTATTAAAATACTTATAAAATTTAGCTGACCAAAATTACTCTTTGGTCAAAAGTTTATTAAGTTAAACACATTACATAACTTATCAAAACATTTATCAAATCAAACTTATTAAAATTGTTTACTTACCAAAATTATTCCTCGATCAAAAAAAAAAAACAAACTTACCGAAATGAAGAAAAAAAAAACTTAATCGAAGCTTACAAAATTCTCGCAAAATAAAATTTGAAAAATAAAATTAGTCAAAATTCCCTTATCATAGTAGTTATGCAACTAAGCTTATCAGAATTGCTATCTAATCAAAATGTTATCATGTTAAATGCATAAAATATTTTCTTAACAAAGCACTCATCAAATTAAACTTACTTATCACACTTAAAATTAAACTTGTCACACTTAAAATTATTTCTTGCAATATTATTATTATCATATCTGATATCATTTATAGTCGTTATGGTATAGAATTTTCGGAATTATCGATACGATTATTTTGGTCATTTGTTGCTGGTATTCTATTCATTGGAGCAATCATCGGTGCTACAGTAATACCACCGGTGATTAAGCGTATTGGTTCACGACGGTCATTTATGGTTATTGGCATCGTTGGTTTATTTTTCGTTTTTTAATTTTCATTTCCAAAAAATTTGATATAATATTGAATACGGTATAATCTAAAATGTATGCTATTTTCCTGACTCCTGAAATATTCCGTAACTACTCAATCGGAATACATATTTACCGGAATTAAAAGTTGAAACTTTATTATCGAAATCCAAAAAAAAAACCAACTGATTATATACATATTCATTAAATGTTTTATAGATATGTTATTTTAAGATATTCAGGAAATTAAAGTGTTCCGAAAGTTTCTCTTTTAAATTAATATTATCATTTCAAGATGAAATATAAATAATTACCAACTATGCTAATTCTAATTTGTCTACCTTAAAAAATTCCTGAATTACTAGTAATTAGTAATCAGTCATTTAACAATATTAATAATCAAAAATTTCGCATCAAATTTTCAACCAACACTCATTTAATGTTTTAATTAATTAATTTAACATCTCCATAAATAGTTTGCTTTAATTGATTGTTACAATTCCATAAAAAGTAGTTTTTTGACTTTTAATATATTAAACTGTAAGGAATATAATGACAATATTCGAAAAAATTTCTGTCATTTTTTTTATTTTTACTTAAAAATTTCTGCTAATAAGAATTTATTTCAGTAAAATTAATAATTTTAGTTAATGATTATTGCTCTTTTCCTTTCACCCTTATCACAATATACAAATATTGCGGAATTATTCATTCTTTCACGATTGATTGTTGGCATTTGTGTTGGAATGTGTACTACTGTACAAGGTGTATTCTTGACTGAAATTAGTCCAGGTAATTTCATTTAAATTATTTATAAAATTATTTCCAAATTTAACTTATATCATTTAATATGTCACTCATTCGCAAGCATTATTATTTTTCTTTTTTTTAGTTCTTGCAATTTGCAACAAATGCACATATGATAATTAGATATCAATTTAATTATTACGCGTAATTAGGTAATAATTAGATGTTGAAATAATTAGATAATAATTGGACATCAAAATTTAATTCTTTTTTAAAAACAAACATCATTTTGAGTTATCCTAAGCGTTACTATCGTAGACTTTTTTAGGCATAATAATGATTTCTTTCATTTTCTTAAATTTTATTTCATTTTTTCAACAAATTATATTTTCTATAAAATAATTTGCATTTTTCAAAATAGTAAAATTTCTTAGCACGAAAAAAAGGAACCAAAAATCAAAAACCAAAAACAAAAATATTATTTTTCTTTTTTTCTCGCCAATCATAAAAATTATAAAATTTCAATAGATATCAAATTCAACGACAATTTCCTCATTAATAATACATTTTACATTTCTTTATAAAGTTCATCAAAAATTTTAAATTTTTTCTAAATTTTCAAATTTTTATTATCATTAAATAATCAATTGATTCTATTATATTATATATAAGCTGTTGAATTTGTCAATTTTTTATTGCCAAATTTATTGCGTCTACTTTATTTTTTTTTTTTGCAGTTTGTTTTCGTGGCCTAATGGGAACATTAACTGGCCTATTCACTAATATTGGTGCATTACTAGGATCAATGATTGGTTTACCACAAATTTTTGGAAATAAAAATTTATGGCCTATTGGTTATTATGTGGAAATGATTCCATGCTTAATGTTTATATGCTATTCGATTTTTATCCTTCATGAAAGTCCATTATATTTTTTAAAACAAATGAATGTAAATGCAGCAAAAGAATCGATTAAATTTTACAATAAAAGGAGAAATATTTGTCAAATAGATGAAGAAATTTCAAAATTAACAATATCTCAAAGAAATATGGAAAGCCAACTAAAAGATATTAATTGGATGAAACTTTGGCATGATAGGTTTATTTTTTTTTGTTGATTTATTTTTAATAACTATTAACTGTAATTAATTTGATAATTGAAATAGCTAAAAATGATATTGTATTTTTATTTAGAAATTACAAATTAATCATTCATGTATTATTGGAATATTATTTGTTTGATTTTTACTGATTCATTATTATAACCTTTAACCCTGATTAATTTAGCAGTTGAAATAATACTAAATAGCGTTACGTTTTTGCTTAGGAATCATAAATTAATCATTCATTATTTGTAATATTTGTTCAAAAAAAAAAAAAACAAAAATATGTGTCAATTATGAAAAGTATTATGATAATTATTGAAATTGATTTTAGAATTTTATAAAATTTGCATATATTATCTTCTATCAGTTGTACTAAACACTATATCAAAAGCTTCTAAAAAAGTAAACAATGTTAAAGTATAGCAAAATTGATTGATTTTTTTTTCTTCTAATCGTTTTAAAAAATTTCAGATAATTATTAGAAAATTAATGAAATAGATATATAAATACATTTAAATTCAGGGAAAAAAAAGGAAATAAAAAACAAAAGTGATATTTTATTTTAGGGCAACTCGTCGAGCGTTATTTCTCTCGGTACTTTTGAATTGTGCGGTAAGTTTTAGTGGTATTATGGCGATGGTATTTTTTGGCACTGCACTACTGGGCGCTATTGGTTTCACATCAACTGATGCATCATTGGCAAATTGTGTTGCAGGATTATCTGGTACCATTGGGATTCTTATTCAAGCTATCACTATTGATAAGGTTAATTTTTTGTAAGCAAAAATTTGTTACATTTAATATAGCTCATAAATTTTTACTTTCTTTTGTTCGATAATTTTAATTAATTAATGAAATGCAATAATTTTAATCCCTAATACTATTATATTAGCAATATTGATTGATAATGAAAACATGTTAATTATTAGTCATTTCTTTTCAAATATTCAAAAATAATCAATAAAAAAAAAGTGTTTTTTCTTTTTTTAGATTGGCCGTCGTTCTTTACTTCTTGGAAGTTTGATTAGTTTAACATTGGTAAATATTGGAATGATGATACTAGTTTGGATCTTTGGCCAATATCATTACTCTTGGCTTGGCTATTGCTTTCTCTTTCTCTTTACATTATTCCTATTCCTTTTCAGGTTTATGTTCTCTTATATACACTTTAAAATGATATGGATAGGTTTGATTTGTTAGTCTAAGGCTTCAAAATGAATTATCATTATCATTATGTTTATCCTAGGCATTGAATTATTGCTATCCTAAAGCCTTATAACTCATTTATTACCATTATCACTATGATAAATTGAGGTATTTAAATAATATCACGGATGATAGCATCATAATGTTAGTTTTTGAAATCAATAAATTTAATTAAATCAATTAATACATTTAGCTTCTAGCAATTATTTACAATTTAAAATGATATAAAATAAGACTTAACATTTTAAGTATTTCATTCTTTTTGATCCTTTTCCAGTATCGGTATTGGTCCAGTTGCATGGTTTATTGCTACCGAATTAGCCGAACCATACTGTCGTGCTCAGGTACAATCATTGTCTATTTCGGCACAATATATCACCTGTTTCCTGTGTCCAGTTATATATCTACCACTGGAGAAATTAATCGGACCACTCAGTTTCCTGATTTTTATCACTCCTCTAATCATTACAACTTTTTGCATCTATTATTACATGCCGGAAACTCGTAATCGTAATCCGGAAGAAATTTATCATTTGTTAGAAGGCAAAAAATAATACCATCAAAATCTTCTTTTAAAATGATACATTTTCTATCATTTCAATAATTTGACACTTACTTTAACAGTTGAATACTGTAATATATTCAGTAAATTTATGGCTTGCTTCATTATGTCAACATAATTGAACTTTGATAATGCCGAAAGTATCAAACAAATCGTAAACAATGATATTTGATATGACATTTTAACCGGATACGATATCAAATATGTTAAAATATGAAATGAATTAACTTGAAGTAACTTCTGCTTGTTAGTTATACATCATGAATTTCATTCAAAAGATAAGCTTATCCATTAGCGGGTAAATGGATGTACTTCACTGAATATCAGATAATTGAGCTAATTTTTATTAGATTATATCAAATTAACAACTGTATCTAAAAAATAAATTTAATTGTAATGAAAATATTTGGAAAATTCTTACCCAAAAACCAAATTAATTAAATTTGCATGAAATAAATTTGATTATGATAGAATAAAGATTGAAGGATCGATAGAGATAAGTTAAAAATTAAAACTCTAAACTGTTAATCACTGATTAGCTTTTGGATAAAAATCGAATAATGTCATGTTTGGAATGAAATAATAGAAAAAAAGAAGTTTGAATTGAATTGAAATGAAAACGATATATAATTATAAAATTTGCTGAAGCAAAAATTTCCATTATTAACTTCAGAAATTATAAGAATAGAGTATAATATTCATCAAATGAAGCACAATTCAACAAAAAATTGTTGAGAATGGGAAAAAATTCAACGAAGAAAGTAATATATTGCAAATAATTATTCAATTTACATTTGAGTATTGCAGTTCAAAATTATTCGTGTAATAGTTTTACTTATATGTTCAAATTTAATAAAAAAATAAATAGCCCCATAATAATTGTGATTGAATAAAAAATCTAATTAATACATTGAGATTGATCAATTCCTAATTTAGTTCATTTACCTGAATAATGTGATAAACGAAAAGGATTGCATAGCAATTGATATTATTCTACTGATAAAATTCAACTAAATTATCATTTAAATAAATATGTTAACAAAAAAAAAAAAGAGAGGTAAAAAGTTTCTGTGTTTTTTATTTTTGAAAGAAAATTTTCAGGAAAGCAAAAGAACGCCATTTTCCCACCTTTTTTTTTCTTGCAAATAAATATCCAATATTTAAATTTCAATGTGAATGATAATAGGCATATTACTTTTAAAAAGATATGGGAAATGAAATATAAATAAATAAGTAATAATAAAAACGATTAATTCTTAAGAGATCAAAGGAAAAAAAAAATTTGAAGGCATAGAATTTGAAAAAGAAGAAAAAAGAAAAAAAAAGTTAGAAAAAAGGAGGAAGAAGGACGGAAGACATTCATTGAATGAAAATGTATTGATTGAAATGAATGGAAATGAAATGAAATGGAAATGAATAAATGGATTTTAATCGTTTTTTTTTTCTATTTCTTTCACCTCATTATCTTCCTTTTTCATTCATTTTCAATTTCATAAGGAAAAGAAAAAGTTTATTATTTCTTTTTTCCGGTTAAATATTAAAAAATTTTTTTTTCAATTTTTTTTTCTTTCTTTTTTCCTTTAACTTTTTATCGTGCATGCATTTGTAAATAAAAAAAAATTATATAATAAATATATGTTTTTCGATCTTTCGATCCTTCGATCTAGTATATTAAAAAATTATTTTTGCTGCATAATTCACATTTATCAATCATATGTAAATGCAACGAAAAACTAATGAATTTTTGTTTTCATTTTCACAAAAATACTTTAATGGGATTCCTCCAGCAATTTGTTTCTAATTTTTTATTTATTTATTTATTTATTTACTCATTTACTCATTAATTTGTTTACTTATATAATTATCTATTTATTTATTAATCTATTCGTTTATTTATTCATTTATTTGTTTGTCTGTGTATTTATTGATTCATCTCTTTATTCATCAATCTATTCGTTCATCCATTTATTTATTCATTCATTTATTTATTTGTTTATTTACTTATTTATTTATTTACTTATTTGTTTTTACTTTATTTTCCTGCTCATTCATTTACCTATTTACTTACTTATTCACTTATTTTTTCTACTCATTCATTCCTTTATTTGTTCATTTATTTATCAATTCATCAATTTATTCATATATTTATTTGTTTATTTACTTTTATCTACTCATCCATTTATTTATCTATTGTTTATTTATTTATCCACTCATTTAGTTACTCATTTATTTACCTACTTATTTATTTCTTCATTCATTTATTTATTTACTTGTTTATTTTTTATCAAAAAACACTTCAACATATTTCCTTTATCAAATTGGCGTAATCATTCATCACAATCAATGCACTGTTGTTAATGTGTTGGTTTAAGAAATGAAAAAGAAATTAAAAATGGAAATGGAAAATGGATGATGTGAAAGATTTCTTCTGGTTTCTTTTACGCATGCTATTAATATATACATATATATAAATAATGGCCACAGAAAAAAGAAAACTTTTTTTTGTTTTTAAAATTTCATAAAATTTTTTTTTCAAAAAGAAAAAGTTGCAAAAGTTTTGTATTATTGGAAATTTTTGCTAATTCCATGGCATTAATTATCTTTTATATTTAGTTTAATTTTAAAAGAAAAAAGAAACTTTCTTTTTCATCAATTTGTTTTTTGTCTTTTCCAATTTCAAATGTGTAAATTTAATTAAAAAAATGATATGATATGATAAATTTATGCAGATCGCTTCGTTGTAGTGATAAATTTGATGATAAGAAGAAAGTTGAGATTTTTGAAATTCTCCTAAATGACCCAATTTCAGCTGTTTCAGTAAATTTAATCATCATATTTCGAATAATTCTGTATCAAAATAGGAAGGAAATAATTTTAGAAGGGATAGAGAAAGAGAGAGAGAGAGAGGGAGAGAGAGATTGAGTATCCTTGTTGATGGAAGAGACTAATGCAAAGAAAAGAAAAAAGAAAGAGGAAACGAGAAGACAAAATTTATTATTTTTTATTTTTTAAATTATTAATCATTAAATTATCATTTTAGCCACATATTGTTACTTTTTGACATTTTGATCACTTCTTTACATTTATTCGTCACTGATAGTCAATAATTATCAATTCATATCTTTTCATTTTATTGATTTCTTATCTTATCACTTAATGTTCTTGCTCCTTTTTTTTTTCTCTCGTATCACTTGATAATTACCCAATTATATGAATTATTGAAATGTGTTAAATTTCCATTTATTATAATTAAATTTCAAATTTTCATCATTTTTTTTCATTTTCATAATTTTATCGTTTTCATGCTTCCTTTTTTTTCTTTTTTTTAAACCATTTTTCAATTTCTTTCATCCAATTTTAGCAAATAATATTATTCTCACATAAATCATCCATAAATCCAATAAATATTTCATTGAAATAGCTCAAAATTTACTTGAAAAAAGGCAATAAAATTTTGAAGAGCAAATAAAATACTCGTGAGAAGGAATAAAATTCATTTTAAAATTTAATTGTTCCATAGGATTTTCTCATCCAAATCTTACAAAACTTTTATTTTATAGTATTTAAAAAGAAAAACAAACATGTAGTCTTATCTACTTTTAAAATAAACAGAAAAACAAAATTTTCTTTTTTACTCTTTTACTAGTTTTTGATATGCTACGATAAATTGGAATTTAACAAAAAAAAAAAATCCATTTCGTTGAAAAGTTGCACAAATTTTTAGTTCATTTGCAAAATTTTTGGATACCGTTTTGAATATTTAAATCAAATTTAAAATTTAAAAACAAAACGAATTAAATTTAAAAAGAAAGTGGAAAAAGAAAGAAAACGATTTCAAATAAATAGACAACATCGAATGTTCACAATATGTATGTTGTCCATCAAATTTAGCAAAAGTACTTTGGATTAATACTATTTTAACTTTCCTTTTGCTTTCACACATTTATTGATTTGTTTTCATCTGATATTCGAATTTTTAAATCTTACTAAAATTAGCGAATTGAAAGAGGAAAATTGAACTGAAACGAGTGATTCATCGAGAAAAATTACTTTGTTTCATCTAATTCCAAGTTTTTATATTTCAGAAAAAAATATCCAACTATTTGATGTGATTTTGCAAAAATTGCAAAAATTTTTTTGAGCAAACTTTTGCACATTTCCATTGAACTTGCACGTATGTTTCAAATTGTTTCAGAAATTTTTTAAAGTTTTCGTTGTTAACACAGAAACTTTTTCTTTAATTTTGATTAAAAATTTCTAAAATTTCATCCTTTTCGAAATTTCATTTAAATTTTAAAATTTTTGTTTATCATTTTTCTCTTTGTTTTTTTTAGTTTCCACTTGATAAACATCATCCACTATAAATTATACTTTTATTAAAACAATTACACATTAAAATAATTATGTATCTATTTAATTGTAAGTAATTCGTTTCCTTTTATTTAAATTAGTGTTAAATCTTTTAATACTAATTAACAATTTTCACCTGCAACAGTTGTTGTTGTTATGTATCAATTATGAATGTAAATTTGAATTAATCAATTTAACCTTATCAAACATACTAATCAAAATTTGCAAATTAAAATAAGTGTAGGGAAATTTTTTTTTTACTTATTGAAATTTGCACCAAATTGAAAAAAAAGTGTGTCAAACTTTGTTTATTGTGCATAGTAAATTGTTAAATTTAAAATTTCCACACTTTTGTTTTATTATCTTAGAAAATTCCAATACTAACTCGTAGATTTACAAGAATTTACTGAATATAGACTGTGATCAATTATGCAACCTCTCTTCTCTGAATATCTAAATATTGAACATTAATATGGTAAATCATTCAAAGGTGCTAATTTGCATAAAATCATTTGCCACA